ATGCCCACATTAACTTAAAAACCTAAAGACAACATTATAAATTAAAATTAGGTAAATTGGCAAATCAACAAAAAAAATATTAATCATCATTTGTGAGCTCTTCTCATTTGAGTTCATTTTGTATTACAAATAACAACCTTTCTCATAATCAGTTAGGTTATTTAATTTTGAAGGTACATTGGGACTTGTATCAAGAATTTTTAAGATGATGTTTCCAAATTCAGTTCCCGAAATTTTGTCTGAGCTCACCCAACAACACAGGCTGAAGATATAAAAAATTTGTGATGGATCCCTCCCAATCTGTAATAGTTTCTGTAGATTAAAATGTGTTCACATGTGATGTGGGCGTTCCTGGCATTTGTACCACCATTTGTTAAAGGTAAAGTCTTACTAGACGAACATTTTTGGGGAAATTAACTTTTCACAAAACATTTTGCTCTTTTTATGTATTAAGAAAATGCAACGAATTCAGGAAGAAGAGCTTCACACTGGACATACCCCTCCTCCTCCTTACACTTTGGTCGACCAGCAGTATCCCGCTAATAACAATAATAACAACAATAACCATATCAACAATAGTAGTAGTAATCATCATCCGGTAAGAGATATCTATATATAAGTGTAGGTATGATAAAATACGCGTCTGTTCTGTAGGATTAAATACAACTTTTTTATCATCTCCTTGTCCTATGCGCAAACCCTGCTTCCGTGTTTGAACCCCCGTTTTTTTTATTCGTGTCATGTCCTTTAACAACAAGACTCAACAACAGTATCACTCTCAAAACCCTTACCCGGCTACTGTCATCTCTTCAGACGCTGATTTTCGTCTTGCCCAAAAGCTTCAAGATGAGGAATACGCTCGTTGGGTGGAGTCAAACCCGCAGCAAGAGCCTGTTCTAAACCGTGCGGGTGAATCGTCCGTCGGCCCTCACCTACCTAGAGCACCAATGCCGCCAATACCTGAACATTATCAATATAATCATCATCAACAATTTCAAAATAGCCCTTCATACCAATCTCCCATAGTTTATGCTTCTCCAAATCAACCTCCTTTACCTTACTCTCAAACTTCTACATATGCAAATAATGGCGCAAGTGGTGGGGCCAATAATCAACCGTATTATGGGAGCTTGAATCAGGGTAAACTATTTACGGGCAAATCTTTTTTTGATCTATTTTCATTTTACATCTCTAATTCTTTTGAATTTATTATTATTATTATTATTTTAGGATATTATCCATCACAATCACACCCATTTTATAACGCGCCTTATCAACAAATCCCTCAGCAAAATTTACCATATCAAAGTAATGAAGAAGAGGAGGATAATTCTAGTTGTTTTACTGGATTGTATGATCAATTTTTTATTTTTTCAATTTGTGTGATAATAATTTTTTATTTTTTAAAATATTATGATTTTTAAGAAAGATCTTTTTTTCCGAATTGGGGTTTGAGGAAAATGTGGGGGATCGGAAAGAATATTATGGCTGGCCAAATTTCTCACAATCATTATCTCTCTTTTTTTTTTTCTTCTATTTTTTATTCTTCCCATTGGGGTGGGATTTTGAAATCAATCATAGTGCTCTAGCGTCGCTCTTGTGCTATTGTTTTTCGTTATACGATGAATAAGGAGAAATCAAATCCGGATAATTAAAGAAATCAATAGATTTAAAAAAAAAAAAAAATTTTTTTTTTTTTTCCTTAATTTTTTTTTTTAATTTATTTATATCCGAAAAAAAAAAGAGAGATCGAACCTCCATTTTTGAACCAGTTTCTCATCGGTGTATATATATGACTTAAATATCATGAGATATATATATATATATATATTTATATTAATCAGAAGAATTATAAATATCAATTAGAAAATTATTTAATACTCGGGAAGTATTTTTTTTTTAATATACATCAATTCTTTCCATTTCATTTTTTTTTTTTACCTTTTTTTTTTTACCTTTTTTTTCATTTTTTTTTTTTTTTGATCAAAAAAAAAACTTCGCATTCTTTTTTTTTTTAAAAAAAAAAAAATTGTTGATGAATGTATTTGAATAGGTGGTATTGATTTTTGGAGATGCAAGTGAGTCAAGAGAATGATATAATATATAATATAATAATATAATATAATATATATATATTTCTTAATAAAACTTTGATGCAGATTTCAAATAATGAAATAAAAAAAATGATTATGCATGAACAGTTTGTGCACTTTCGGAGAAATACAAGTTTTTTTTGAATAATGACTCTTGCTTTTGTGAATATAAAGGGTCATTATTGGCTTGCATGCTAGTTATTTTGGTTTATGAATAACTTTTTTGCTGTCATGTGATATTTCTACTGTTTAATTATAAAGTTGTAATTTACGGAATAATGAATTGAGTAAAAAAAATTTTTTATTGCCACTAGCATGAATTTTTTTTTTTTTGAATGGATTTTGCCACATACATTAATATATCAATATATCATATATTTGTATGTAACGAACCTTTAAGGAAATAATGATTGTTTCCGATGCATAAATGACACGATTTATTTGTTACAAGAAACAGAGTTTTATTTTAATAAATGATGTCTGTATAAATGTTAATAACATAAATAATTTCATATGAATTGAACTCTTTTCATGCAACATTACATTGATAATTAAGGGTAAAAAAGATGATCGGTTGAACATCAATCATTTTTATTACTAATGAATGAATTTTTAGTGATTCGATTTATGATAGTAATTTAATGAGAACTAAAAAAGAAATAGATTGAACAATATGAAATTATTGAATGTGCTGGTCATTCCATTACCTATTTAATAAACCTACTCGTTTATGCAATATGTAAATGTAATGTAGGTTAAAAGGAAAAAAAAAAGAGTTTTTTTTTTTACCATTGAATCGAACATCAAACATGAAACATCATAATCTATTTATTTATTTGATACATCTTCTTTGATTCTTTTTTTTTAAAAAAAGCTCTTTTTTTTGTTGATTTGCCAATTTACCTAATTTTAATTTATAATGTTGTCTTTAGGTTTTTAAGTTAATGTGGGCAT